GTAATAATTATTAAAATTTATTTAGTAAAGAAGTGTTTTGCAAATGGATTTGTTTAGTTGTCAATTAATTAAGCACTAAAGCCCTAAACTCTATTACCGTCTTTTTAACTAGAATTTCTTGGTTTAGTAAGGTTTTCATGTCCGTTTTATTCCACTTATGTGTTATGATATTTGTTGATGTTTAAAAAGAACTCAGGAAATTGCTCGTATCATGATTAAGCTTAGGAAGATTTTCTTTATTCATTCCATATGAACAAAATTGTGTTATATCTATATTAATTAATGATCATGTAAAGTACAAATTTGTTGGTAATGTTCTGAGATGTTGATGACCTTTATAGCTGGCTGTATGAATGCAGTGAACTGTATGGCATGGTGTAATGATGTTAAGCGTTAGACTTAGGCAGATTTTGGAATGGTAAGACGAAGTTTGGGGACAAACTTCCAAACAAGTTGGGGAGAATGTAAGATCTCGTCTAATTAGGAACCTATTTAAATTGCAATTAGGAATGTGATAGAGTGCTTTCCTCCGGATTATATAAATGTTTGCTTTAGGCTAGAGTTAAATTAAATTAGGGAATTATTGGTATTACCATGAAAGGTGAGTACCTATTTTATGCATGTGAGATTATAGTTATGAGTATAGGAATAATTTAATTATAATACATAGAAAGCATATCACTACTTGGAATTATATGAGTACTCATTAAAAGTAGGTGATTAATTTTATTACAAAGAATAAACCCTTAGTAAATAATTAGAGGGTACATAAAAACTATGGGGCATGGGTTAATTCCTAAATAGGAGAACCATTGGACTTGTATATTTGAACCCATTTTCCATTAAGGGCCTTAAAACTAACTTGTTGAACTTGGAATGCAGCCCCCTTGTGAAAACATGTGGTGCATCAAACTTTGCCTGAATTATTTGTAAAAGGACAGCATGTATTGAGCCTCTCTTTAGCGCACCATAGGCCATGTAACGTTGAAAATATGAATAAACATCCTTAGTTTTTTTTTAAAGTGTTGAAAATCGAATTTGCATGCATGTGTAAGTAATTTAGATTTTTGGTCAATTAAGGACAACTGGTGAATTAACTCTCTGGCAGAAAATGTGTTTATTATATGAACTTGAAGACAGAATGGTAACGCATGAAGGAACTTGTATTGTTTCGCTGTTAACAAACTGGTGTACTACCTTAAGTCAGAAATTAAAATAGTATAGAATCTATGAAAAACCGATTTTAGAATAAGAATTAGAAGCATGAGAAAGACAGATAAATCATAGGAATAAAATGAAGCAGATTCTGACTTGTTCCGCATGTAATTAGGTGCGTGTAACTCTTATTGTGTGGGCTGACTGTTGGTGCTGTTGATTATTGCTTGGATGCGAGGTAAGTGTTTGGTGGTATTACCTAATGTGACTATTAGCTAGTGTATAGAATTGTGAATTGTTGCTCACATGTGCCTTGGATTAATGTGTTGTTATATGCTATATATATGCTGCCTATGAATGTGACAAAGATGGAAATTCATGAATGAGAAGTAACTGTTATGTGGCAGCTTGGTACGGAAAGTACATGAAAGATATGCTATTACGATGATGATCTAGTCATGCATATACACCTCATAATTCATTTGTTTCTTGTTTGTGTGTGAAGCATATCATGACATACTTGCACGAATTTCATGTTGTTCATGGATTAGAATATTTATCTAAATATGCATACGATTGAGCACGCATTATATAGGCATCCCTTCGGTACCAGGGTATGGGACACTTGGCTTCCGTCCGCATAGGCCACAGTTGGATTCACATTTAAGGGGGCCATTATGGAATATCCACTGTGTATGTACGCGCACGACGGTGCTATGAGCGTAATTATGGCGTTATATATGCACTAATGATATGTTAGTACGCGCACGAAGGTGCTATGAGCGTAATGATGGCGTTATATACGCACTATGATATGTTAACAGAAAATGAAATGTTGATGTGACTATTTACAATTTTGTGCCTAGTTTAATATTGTTGCATTATTGGATTTGCTATCACACTACTGGGATTTTTCTCACCCCTTTGGGGTTGCAATTTTTATAAAATTGCAGGAGGACGAAAGAGCATATGAGGACATGGATTATTTGGATATTTACTGTTAATTGCTGCTGTTTGAACTTGCTGCTATTTTTTCTGTTGGATGACGTTGGATGACTGTACTATTGTTATGTGGAGAACTTTAGACTACTGTTGGAACCTTGTTTTTAGTACTGTTGTGAGACTTTTATGATCATCTATTACTTTGGAGAAATTCTGAAAACGTTTTGCGAAAATAATTTCTGAGCGTTTATTTAGTGCTGATTTATAAACAGTTTTGCGAGCACTTCGCGAGTTATGTTTCGAGGGGCAAACGACCTCCGATTTGCTATTATTTTATACGCACGCGAAGCCCCAGACATGCTCTTTCTATATTACAAAGAATATTTTTGTGGATCGTTGAACTTGATATTATACGAATTTTTCAAGACAGCAACGTCTGCCAGGAAAATACTATTTTCAGCAAGTTAAGAAGTTTTAAAAGTATACTCTGATTTTTTGTAAGTGACTCGATTTCAATTATAAGTTTTAATTAGCAACCTCAAAATGATTTTTCAGTATCAAAGTAATGAAGTCAAAAACTTTAATTCCGCGTAGCAAACAACTCTCTTAGATGCATACAAGGGAGAGTGTTACATGTTCAAAGCATTGAGAGAAGTTTTTCCATAACAGAACAGTCAGATACATCATTTAAGTATACAGGATCAGTCCCTTCAGCAAGTATGGCGCGACACCCCTCCATGTCAACCACCAGCAGGCGAGGTTTATTATGGAGGACCAGGTACTCATGGTCCCTTCCAGAAATGGTAAAAAACACGGGAGTGAGAGGAAATTTTTTAAAAAGTAAGGGATTGGGATGGAAACATAATTTTCCAAAATTAGAAAAGAGATCACCTAATTATCATAGTCCCAGATCACTATATAAAATTCCCCAGCAGGTATAGATTGATGACATTAGTCCCGTCACAATAGTTGACGGCACTCTCTTTAATATTTTTGTTTCCTCTCTACCAATTTTCTCTCTTGACTTCTCATTACTAACTCCCTCAAGTCTATTTCATTTCCGTCTCTCTATTAGGTACTAGGTACTTCCCTCTGCCACTTCGTTTCACACCTCAGGTAAATAGCATTTTATTATTTTTTATTATTGTAAGTACTTTTATATGTTATTTGCAAACCCTAGGTTAGAAGCCTATTTAGTAAAATAGTTAATTAGTAATTATAATTAATAAAATAATGAAATAGCAGTTATAATTAGCATTTATAAAAATTGGGATATAATTGGCCTCATTAGTTAGTTTTGAGGTATAAACATTTGATATATTTAAAATTAAACTGATTCACTAATAATTCACAAAAATAATAAACTGATTCACTAATTATAATTCACTACTTAATCAATTCAATAATTTAATTCACTAATTAGGCTTTAGGCCTTTATCCTAAGGTATTATAAATAATATTTAAAATAATTCACAAAAACTAATTATTAATTCACTAATTATTTTTCTCCATTAACTTTATTCACTAATTTATTAATTTACCAATTTTAAAATGACATTCAAGTATTAATTTACAAAAATATTAAACTAATTCACTACTTAATTAATTCACTAATTAGGCTTTAGGCTTTTATCCTAAGGTATTATAAATAATATATAAAATAATTTACAAAATTTAATTACTAATTCCCTATTTATATAACTACTATTTCATTATTTTATTAATTATAATTACTAATTAACTATTTTACTAAATAGGCTTCTAAATTAGGGATTGCAAATAACATATAAAAGTACTTACAAAAATAAATAATAATAAAATCCTATTTACCTGAGATGTGAAACGAAGTGGCAGAGGGAGGTGCCTAATAGAAAGAGACGAAAATGAAATAGACAAGAGGGAGTAGTAATGAGAAGTTTTAGAGAAAATGGGTAGAGAGAGAACGAAAATATTAAAAAGAGTGTCGTCAACTACTGTGACGGACTGATGTCATCAATCCACCAATCCCGTAAACATGCCTTACGGGTAGATCCGGCAAAATGGGTTTTCCTCCGCGGCCCAACCCGTCCAATCTGTTAAATGGGGTAGAATGGGTTGAGTTTTTCAATCCATCTTAAAAGCGGGACGGGGTGGGGTGGACTCATTTTTTGACGGGTTGATGGCGGGCATAGAAAATTTTTTGTTTAAATTTTTTGTTTTGCTAATAAGCCAAGTTTTTTTATGGCGGGCAAAAAAAATATAGCTTATAACAATATTTAAATTTTTTGTTTTGCTAATAAGCCAAGTTTTTTGATGGCGGGCATAGACACAATCACCATCTTAAATTATTCATCAAAAAAAAAAAAAAAAAACCATCTTAAATCCTTTTTTTTTTTTTTGATAACAATCTTAAATCCTTTAACAATTAGACGTGATGTTAGTGTCAAAGGTTCGATTTTTCCTTTCCCTACCTAGATATTAACACATGATTAAATGATCATATAACAAATTTTTCAATAATAGCATATCTAAATTCTTAAAGAAGAGACTGTATTGGGTTCCTCGGTAGGTTCAAGTATAGCAAATGAATGCGCATAATAGCAATATATTTCCAATGGCCTGGTTGATCCACATTAAATACCATTTGTCAACACTAAACTTATGGGCTGGGCCCAAATAAATGGACCCAGAATTCAAAAAATGAAAACTAACGGCTAGTTCATTGCCCATTGTTTTTAGTAAAAAATGCGCAAGCTCCAACGGTCATTTTTTTTTATGCTTTCTCCTTTTATAAGAGCCTAGCAACTTTGCCCTAAAGTCATTCATATATTTCTTGTATCTTCCTTTGAATCTTGTGCTCCTCTCTCTTTCTCTCTACAATACCGTCAAATCCAACTTTCGTGTGATCTTTGATTGCATCGGTTTCAATGGAGACTCCATCATCCACCGCAAGAAGAGTCACAAGATCACAGACAAACTTGGCTGCTTCCAATAACACCATCAGCAGCAACAACATTTCATTTTCAAGTGAGTGATTTTTCTCTTCTACTATAATCATCAAAACACCCCATCATTATTTTCTTTCTTAAAATTCAATTTTAGTTAATGGGTTTTCATTCTTTCCTTCTTTCTCAGAAAAGATTGAAGATTCAGAGAAGAATCTGTCAAAAACAAGGCAAAGAAACGGGCAACAACAACAACAAGAACGATGTGCATTGGTTGACATATCGAACGATTCACCAATTGTGGGGCTTGCCAGTGGCGATCTTGAGACACCATTGTCGTCTATAGTGAAGCAGAGGGGAAGCAGAGTGAAGAAGACACCGTGTTCCGGTGAAGCATTGCTGAGGGGTCAGGTGAAGACCCTCTTGCAGAAGGTTGAAGAAGAAGCTGAGATTTCCAAACTCTCAATGGAAATTCGTCCATTTCTTCAACTTGCCAACTCTCCAATGTCACTTCTTGCCCCCACTCCCGCAAACACACCTCAAATCCCGAATCTTTCCAACGAGGGTGGCCTTAACAATCGCACGGGTTTGGTTTCGGTGTTACCTTCTCCCTTGATTGAAGAACAATTGATTCCTCAGGTTAGTCTTGATTAAAATTTAATCTTTTTCTTTATTCTGTTTGTGGCAAGAAAATGAATGTTTTTTTTTTCTTTTTTCTTTTTTCTTTTTTATGGCAGGTGATGAATCAAATATTTGATGGGAAGAATAAAGAGAACCCTGAATCTGAGAAGAGTTTGATAACAAGGTCCCTCCTTCTTGATTTCTCAGACAAATCTGAGGTTTCAGAATGCTCCTCTGTGCTGACTTCTATAGAGAAATCCCATGGCTCCACTGAAGATGATGCTGCTTCTTCTATTTGGTCAATACAAGTCAAAGCAAAAACACATGAAGAAGATGATGAGGAGGAGGAAATGGCTGAAAAAGAAGATGATGAGGAAGAAGACTATTATGATGAGGATGCTGAAGAAGAAGAGTATGATGATGGAGGGTTGCTGGTTGATGAACTGTGTGCAGGCTTGAACAACATTAGTGTGAACAATGAAAGGGTGGTGGCTCCTATGTTTGCTGGAAAGCACACAAGATTTGTTTACGATAGTGATGATGAGCTTGTGGAAGAAGTGGAAGTTGAATGTTGTGCTGAGATTGCCTCTAATGTCCTACGTTTGAAGGGGTTGCCTACCCCAACAGGAAAGCACCTTCGCTTTCCCGAGGAGGAAGAAAAATCTTCTTTTTGATTCATGTTGTGCGTGATTTTGGTTGTCTTTCTTGACACCTTTTTGGTCATTGTTTTTTTTCTTGGACCACACTTTGGTGTGGTTGGGAATGCTCTCCGGTAAAATTGTTTCTTTCATTATTACATTTGGAATTTAATAATAGTTGTTGCAACTTTCTCCATTATCGCCCAATCATTCAATATAATTAGCTCTCATTCAGCAATTATATATAATTAAAAAAAATTGAGGGAAACAAATGCAGAACCATTACTATCATTTTAAGCTTAAGTTGAAAGAGTTTCTCTTCCCCTATTATTTATACAAAGAGAAATTGTATTTCTCCAATGAACCGATTATCTTCGGTGAGTAGAAAACAACATCATTTTAATTTTAAGATTAAAAAATAATAATCATAAAGACTATGTAATAATCCTGTAATAAATTAAAATTATAAAAATACCTTAATTTTTGACACAAAATAATACGATATCGTTTGGTTTCATCGGAGATTTCCGATAATTATACAAAGGGAAAAATATTTCCCATTTTTGTCACAAAATAATACGACAGACATCTTTGGGTTCACCGGAGATTTCTGATAATTATACTAAGGAAAAAGTATTTATACAAAGGGAAAAAATATTTCTGAGATTATACGACATCGTTTGGGTTCTCTTCCCCTATTATTTATACAAAGGGAAATTTCTCCAATGATAGGAAGATAAAATTATCTCCCCTCGTTTTAATTTTAAGATTAAAAAATTATAATAATAAAGACTAATATAACCCTACAATAAATTAAAATTATAAAAATACCTTAATTTTTAGGAAAAACTTCATTCTTACCCACTGTGATTTTATTCTCACTCACTGTGATTTTATTCTCACTCACTGTGATTTTGTGATTTATCATTTGACCCATGTGATTTAACCCACTGTGCTGAGATATTTTGTCATTTAACTCCCTATGGTTTCAAATTTTGACTTAGAGCCCTTGTAATTACAAAAATTTTCAATTAGACACCTTGTGATTTAAAAAATAAATATTTTAAAAAATAATATTTAAAATAATTTTTCTCTCATTTTATTTTATATCCTCAGGTCATTATGGTTTAAAATATATTTCAAGTTATTTATTATGAAATTAATTTTTAAATTATCTTATTTTTTAAAATATATTTGAAATTAAAAAAAAAATATTTAAGATAAATTAAATATGTATTATCAAAATAGGATATTTAATTTTTTAGATAATTTTATAACGATATCGGGTAAAATAATATTTGATTTGAATTTATTTTCTTAATTAAAATAAGTGAATTTTTTAATTTTTAATTTTATTTTTAAACCCTAAATGCATTAGGCGAGGATTAAAATAAAAAGAGAGAATATTTATTTTAAATTTTTATTTTTAAATTGTTTTTTATAACCACAAGTGATTTAAGTGAAAATTTTTCTAACCACAAGGTATCTAAGTGAAAGTTTAAAACCACAAGGGGTTAAATAAGAAATTATTTTAGGTGAGGATTAAAATAAAAAGAGAGAATATTTATTTTAAATTTTTATTTTTTAAATATTTTTTTTTATAACCACAAGTGGTTTAAGTGAAAAATTTTCTAGCCACAAGGTGTCTAAGGGCCCGTTTGGATTAGTTTTTTTTCTTCAAAAGCTGCTTTTTTTAAAGAAAAAAAGCACTTCTCGTTTTTAGTTCGTTTAGATGTCTGTTTTTAAAAAAAGCCGAAGTCGCAAAAAAAGTCAAAAACCTACTTTTTCCAGAAACTAAAAATTTTAACTTCAAAGAAAAGCAAAAGTCAAAAGCCAAATATTTTTTTCAAAAACTAAATATTTTTATAAAAATATAAATAGCTTTAACTTTTATAAAAAGCACTTCTAAAATAAAGAAGAAATAAAAGTTACTTTTTCGAGAAGCCCAAACAAACGGGCTCTAAGTGAAAGTTTAAAACCACAAGGGGTTAAATAAGAAATTATTTTAGCACAATGAGTCTAAGTGATAAGTTTAAGACCACATGTGATCAAATGATAAATCACAAAACCACAATGGGTAAAAATTAGGGGTGTTCGCAGTCTGGATTGGATCGGTTTTGGAAGCAAAAATATCCAATCCAATCACTTCGGTTTGTTCATGTAATCATCCATTTAGTTTGGATTTTTTTTCAAATCTGATCCGATCCAATCCAATTTTTTTCGGTTTAGATTGGATCGGTTTTCGGTTTTTTGAAAATCCTAAAATTTGTTTCATGATTATTGTGCAAATAACATCTTTTTTATATATTGATTTGTAAATTTTATTTATTTTTTGAAATACAAAAGCATCAATAGACGATAATGTAGATTTTTTTTTTGGCAATGAGATATGAAGCATCAATAGGACGATAATATAGTTTTTTTTTTTTAAATATTATTGATGAGATGTGACTAGATTTTTTTCTTGGGTTTAGTTGATAGGTTAATAGGTATTGGGTTTAGAAATTTTTGGGCTATAATTAGGAAAAGGCCCAAGTAAGTAGAAGGGAGTTAATATATTGGATCAGTTTGGATTGGATCGGTTTTCATCAACCCATTCGAAAACCGATCCAATCCAATTAGAATTTGCGATTTTTTTTCGGTTTTCCGTTTTTCGGTTTTCGATTTATTTGGTTTTCGGTTTTTCGATTCGGTTACCGCGGTTTGAATCGGTTGATGAACACCCCTAGTAAAAATGAAGTTTTCCCTAATTTTTATGGGTTTTATAAGAGTTATGTTGTAGGAAAAGTGATTGTGTAATATTATAGAGATTCGTTTTGCGTGCCGTAGTTTTTTTTTTTTTTTTGCTTCAAAAAATGTGGGTCCCACAAAATGTTGTGTGTGTAGGAAACTTTCTTGTGTCATGTAAAATGATAAATGCAAATCCCAATTTTTATTACAAAATAATAGGACATCGTTTGGTTCCACTCGAGATTTCCGATAATTTATCTCCGACTGAAATTTGAGTAGTAAAGAGGAAAGCATTGGTATTTGATTTTCTTCCTACTAATAAATGAAGCGCATAAAATTGTGCTGGGTAAGATATCAATTCTATTTTTCTTTTTCAAATAAAAATTAAATGAATTTCAATTCAGAAAAGGGGAAAAAATAACAATGTTTATGATAACAAGTCTTAGTAGCAAAAAATTCATATCCGTGGAAGCGTTCCTGACTGACCTATTTATATAGGTAGGATCATTTAATATCAGTGTCAAATTTTAAGTTTGACACCTCATCTGAGAGCCGTTAGATCAAAAAAGATCAATGGTGTTACATGTTTACAAATCAGAGTCGTTGATTTTTTTTGATCTAACGGCTCTTAGATAAAGTGTCAAACTTAAAATTTGACAATATATATATATATATATATAGATAGGGTAATGTTATATTTACAACTTATTTTTGTTTACAGCCTCTTACAACTATATCTTAACCGTTGATTTCTGTCAATCAACGGTTATCATGTATTGCGAATTAATAATTAATTAATAAATTTGATTTATGAAAATCTTAACCGTTGATTGACGAAAATCAATGGTTAAGATATGATTGTAAGAGGTTGTAAATGAAAATAGGTTGTAAGTATAACCTTTCTCATATATATATATATATATATATATATATATATATATATATATATATATATATATATGAGGCGAGATCCTTTGACACTAGTGTCAAACTTTGAAATTTGACATCAAATCATAACCGTTGATTTCTGTCGATCAACGGTCATCATATATTGGGAATTAATAATTATTTAATAAGTTTGATTCCCAATAAATGATAACTATTGATTAGCGAAAATCAACTATTCGGAATTGGTGTCAAATTTTAAAGTTTGACACTGGTGTCAAAGAATCCTATATATATATATATATATAGTAAAACCTCTTTTGGGTACCTAACAAAAGATATGGTCCTCATTTTAGTCCCTTATAAAAAAATTAGTCCCGAGATCCATAAGAAAGACAAAGTGGACCCACGTTAGTCATTCCGTCAGTGAACCATCCTCGGCGCTAGTAACATCGCTGAGGTGTCACGTTAACTGAGTGACTCCCGTACCACGTAAAACATAAAATGACGTCGTGGATCCCATCGCTAGTAACATCGCTGAGGTGTCACGTTAACTGCAACCCTCATGACTTTCCGTTCAGTTTCTCTGCAATGCAACCTTCTGACATCACCCTCATTTCTTCTTCTCTTTTGCATAGCACTGTTATGGGAAGGGGGTTTTGGGTCATGGGTGTTGCTTAAGGTATCCAAAAACTAGTGTCATTTACTGTTACTTATTGCCGATGGGTAACTGATGCAAGCATAGAAGCCATGGGTAAAGGTTACAATAACCTGAAGCAGATGTGCCTTCGCAAGTGTTGCTTTGATAACACCATTAAAGTCATTTCCCAAACATCTGATGGAAGGACTAACGTGGTAAATCTCAACTACTTATCTCCACCGTAGTAAATGAAAGAAACTAAGGCTTTCTTTGGAAGTTTGGAGGGGAGGGGAAGGGAGGGGATCCAAGGGGGAGGGAGGGGAAGGAAGGGTAGGAAATAGGAGGGTATTCCCTTCCCTTCTTTGGGAGTTAAGAAAATGGTAAGGGGAAAATTGGAGGGTCAATAAGAAATTTTTACAATTTTACCCTTTTTCTAAAACTAATATAATTATTATATTTCACAAATAAAATAAAATTTAAAATTGCTAAACAAAATTATTTATGTATTTTTCAGACTACTAAAAAAGATCATATTTTAACCAAGAATCCTACGTTGAAAACTACAAAAATTCTGTCAAAAAAATATTTTTCCGTCGGAATACTATTCATCGAAGACGATGGAATTTTTATCCGATGAAATATTTTACAAAAATAAAATTTCAATCAAAATTTTCCACGGAATTTAGTTTTCGTCAAAAGTTTTGACGAAAATGATTTGTTAAATATTTTCGAAAAAAAAAATTCCATCAAAAGTTTTGATGGAAAAAAAATTCCTTCAGAA